TCTTTGCATATTGCAGAGTTATCTTCTCTTGGGAGCAGGTATTGATTGTTACGTCATTGGTTCGTGTGAGAAAATTACGTTGTTTTCTCAAAAATTGATGACGTTACTCTCACAAACAAGTGACGTAACAATCAATACCTGCTCCCAAGAGAAGATAACTCTGCAATATGCAAAGATGGAATATGGGTATGCAAAAGTATGTTGTAATATTAAGCAATATTTTTAAAACAAATTTCAATTAATAAATTATATTTATTGATTTAAATGATTTACTATATGTGTCTTCAATCTGTTATGGGCAAAAAGAGAGGACAATTTTATGGGCATTTTATAAAATAATCATACAGCAAACCAATGATTTGGTATTTGTTATGTACATGTAGTATCCTGATAATAGTCTACAAAAGCTTGCTGGCATGGAGTGCACAAAGTCAATGTGAAAAAAATGAAATTGACTCATAATTAAGGTCACAAGGGGCAAATTTGTTAAAACTCTAAAATGACCTTCTCTGAAGAACCCCAGGGCAGGGCTTAAATTCATGATATTTCACCAGGCACTTGCTGGCATGTAGTGCTATAAAGTTTTTGAAAGTTAATGACCTTGACCCATATTCAAGGTCATAAGGGTCAAATTTGTTAAAACACTCGAAAAATTTCTTCTGAAAAATCTTGAGGCCTTGATTTTTGCTGGCATGGCATGTTAGTTTGCCAACATAAGTGACTTTGACCTGTCCAACAACTTCATATTAAGAACAGAAATGTCTTAAGTCATAATATTAGATCAGTAGCTTGAATTGCTGAAGAAAAAGGCCTGTTGAGCCTCTCGTTTCAAGTGAAAAAAGAAGAACACAATTTTCTAGTTCAAATGTTCTTTTTTTCAGCTACAGTTTTGTCTGCCTGTTTTAATATGTTTCATTAATGTACTATCAAATGGTGGAAAAAAGTGATGATGTTTGTTTGTTGTTTCAGGAGCTTGACGAGCAGGTTGAGTGTATGACCATGAAGGACCAGACACTGAGCTCTTCACTACAGTTCATGCAGCAGGAGCAGGACAAAGTGATACAGGAGAATAAGGTGGGTGTGGTTAGAGGAATGAAAATATAGGTGAAGTAGGGGTGGGGCAAATGTGGGTTTCACCGGAGGAGGAATGACAATATAGGTGAAGTAGAGTGGGGCAAATGTGTGTTCGTCTGGAGGAGGAGTGACAATATAGGTGAAGTAGGGGGGGGCAAATGTGGGTTTCACCGGAGGAGGACTGCCCATATAGGTGAAGTAGAGGGGGGCAAATGTGGGTTTGGCTGGAGGAGGAGTGAAAATATAGGTGAAGTAGGGTGGGGCAAATGTGGGTTTGGCTGGAGGAGGAGTGAAAATATAGGTGAAGTAGGGGTGGGGCCAACGTCGGTTTCACCGGAGGAGGAATGACAATATAGGTGGAGTAGAGTGGGGCAAATGTGGGTGCGGCTGGAGGAGGAGTGGCAATATAGGTGAAGTAGTGGTGGGGCAAATTCGGGTTCGGCTTGAGGAGGAGGGACAATATAGGTGAAGTATGGGTGGGGCAAACGTGGGTTTCACCGGAGGAGGAGTGACAATATAGACGTGGCAGTGGTGGATGGAAATGTTATAAACAGAACCTAGGGCTTCAGGGTAAATATATATGGAGCTGATTTGTGTAGGCACATTTGTGATGTTCAAATTCAATCACTGTCAGTTTGATGTTTCTGCCTAGCATAAGGAGCCGCAGTGGCGAAGTGGTTAAGGCGTCGGGACATTGTGCTATCACTAGCCCTCCACCACTGGGTTGTGGGTTCAAGGCCTACGTGGGGCAGTCGCCAGGTAATGGCCATAGGTCGGTGGTTTTCCCCCGGGAACTCTGGCTTTCCTCCACCACCAAAACCTGGCACGTCCTTAAATGACAATAGCTGTCAATAGGATGTAAAACACAAACCAAACCAAAAACCTAGCATAACATTATTGATAACCTCTGTAGTTTATCATTAATAGTTATCATTTTATTGTATGAATGAGTTGGTCCAGGCTCTGTCTAAGTTTGGAAGGTTAGGGGTTTGATTCTCCGTCCAACATATTGTAATTTTCTTCTCTTTGTTACATAAATCTCACACCGATATTGTTTCTTTACACACTCACAGGACTTGCGAGCCCAGGCAGAGGTACTTACTGATGCTCGTGACAAGGTGATGCAGAAGCTGAAACTGATGAAAAAACAACAGGAGACAATGGGGAATGAGAGTCAGGGCCAGGTACAGCAGCTGACCGACCAGGTGTCACAGTTACAGGCTCAGTTCTCACAGGCTAACGAGGATCTACAGGTAATACACCTCCCTTACAGCTGGTTATCATAAAAAAAAACAATATGACAATATATACAATACTAGTATATCTTAATACATATCTCAATGTATTGCTTTGAAATATTTACCTATATTTCATCTTTATACATTATATCTCAATGTTTTGCTTTGAAATATTTACCTGTATTCCATCATGTGAAAAAGGTAAATGTTAGTGGTTTGTATTTGTGAATTTTGTTGAGTTAATTATTGAGCTATTAAATGTTAAATCTATATGACAATTTGTTTTAATTCACAAGTGAATGCAATCATGTTTGTTAAAATTGTCACAGGAATCTGATAATTAGTATTTAGTACTATTTACAACAAGAGGGAAAGCCCTAAATAAAAAGAATTCTATTTTCTATTTAAGTGAAGGTGCTGTTATAAATCATTAAAATCTTCACCATCTTGTTAGTGTGTGGACTTACTGTGTGACCTCACAGAAAAGTGGATTGAATGAACTGTTGTAAAGTTTGTGTATTGTATCCACCACAAATAATACACTCCTAATACTTCTACAGAATGTAATATATTCAGGCTTATCGTAATACAAATTGAACCAGTCTCCTGTAACCTTTAATTCAGGTTAATTTTCAACACGTGCAAATATTTGTTATGTCTTTTCAGGCGAAAAATAAAACAGTGGGTAACCTGGAAGAAGAAATTGCTTCACTAAAAATTATGCTGGAAAAAGACCAATCTACAATGAAAGAATTAGGGGAGAAATTGAATACAAGCAATGAAGAAAAACAGCACTTAGAGACGACCAACTCCAATCTGTCCACGATGCTAGAGGAGGCTAAGTCAGCCAAGGAACAAATCGCTAATTCCTTCCAGGAGGAAATCGATGTGCTGACACAGCGACTTGAGCAAGACAAAGAAAAACGTCAGGAAAACAAGGAGTCAAATGATCAGACAGCTGTATCTCTTCAGAAGGAGGTCGACGAGCTGACACAAAGGCTGAAGCAGGAGACAGAAAATCATAGAAAAGATGTGGAAGATTTGACCACATCACAAAAGAAATTCCAGGAGGATTTTGCTAGTACAAGTGAAATGATGCAGGACTTGATCGCAGGAAAGGAAAAGATGGTTGAGCAGAAAAAAGAATTGCAAGATGAAAACCAAAGGTTAAGGAGTACGATAGAGGAAAGAGAAAAAATGGCAGAAATCAGTGCTGACGTAACTGACAAGATGAATGTTTTGGAGACACAGATGGCTGAGGCTGTGAGAGGACGAACATTGGCAGAGGAAAAGTGTGAAGAACAAGCGAAGAGGATCCAAGAGGTCGAGTGCACATGTGACAGTCTCAGGGCAGATCTTCAGGTCCTAGCCAAAGAAGTAGAGGACAAACAGACCACTATCAAAAAGCACCAACAAGAAGTCAAGAATCGGAAGAAAGAGCTAACAACAATGGAACAGAAAGTTAAAGAGCTACACAGCGCTAATGAATCTCTTAAGTCTGCCAAAAAAGAGCAGGCAACCAAGGGAGGTAAGAAGGGTAACCCAAGTGACCAGAAGTTCAAGGCTGTGCTACATCAGAAGGAGGAATTGGTGTCAGAGATAAAATGTGTAAGCGAGGAACGCGACAGTCTGAATGTGCGGGTGCGTGACCTGACGGAGGAGCAGGAAATGTTGATGGCGGACATGCAGAAGAAGGAAGAACAGATGCTGGAGTGGGAACACATGATGGATATGTTACAACAGGAGAAGGAACGCATGCTGCACGAACTTGACATCACCGAGGAACGTGATCAGAAACTTGTCGCCGAGTTAGACACAATCAGATGTACAATGTCGGAGATACTGGCGATCAAAACGGATCCAGCAGATGATGTTTTTGATGAGGACGATGACGATTCTGTGTTGTTGGCCATGGATAAAATCAAAGGACTTGTCACCCAGGTTGTTAATAAAATGACAGACCTGAAATCTGAGTTAGATAAGGCGTTCAGCAGTAATGGTGATAACTCTGTCCAACTTCAGTCGATTAAACATGAGCTGGAGAAGGCCAAACAGGAGAAAGAGTCCATCGAATGCGAGAAAGAATCGCTGGCAGTCATCGTCCAGCTGGCAAAGGAAAAGGAACAGGACTTGTCTTCAGAAAACACGCATTTGAAGGAAGTGAGTGAGAGTGGGGACACTGAGATTAGAGAATTAAGAGAAATGTGTTTAAGTCTCAAGCAACAGCTAGATGAGGGAGAGGAGCAGAAAAGTAAAATGACCAGCCAGGTGAAGGAGATGGAGGACAAGGTGCGGGAGAGACAAGCTTATACGGAGGAACTGGAGGATAAAATCATGGATATGTCTAACGCCCTGTCTGGGTCAAAGCAGAAACATGAACAATTCATATCCAAGATGGAGACAGATGGAGCATCAACGACAGACACACTACAACAAGAAATAAAGGACCTTCAACAAAATATCCAGACTCTGGAGGGGGACCTAGTGACGACAAAGTCCAGTCACAAGTTGGCTGTCACAGAGGTCCAAGAATTGACAAAACAGGCGGAGGACAAAGCAGTGGAGTTAACACAGATGTCAGACAGACTCAACAGTGTCGAACTAGAACTTAAAAATCTTAATGACGAAAAACAAAAACTAATTGATGAACACAAGGAATTGATAGTGGAAAAAGAAACTGTTTTAACAGGACTTAAAGAAACGTGTGGACATCTTGAAATTGAATGTCAAAGTGCGAAAGAAGAAAAAGAAAAATTTGTTGCTGAGAATCAAACATTGCAGGAAGAGGTTTCAGCTTACAAGGCCAAGTGTTCAAGTCTCGAGGAGAACGTCGCCCATTTACAGATGTCGTCACAAACAAATGCAGAGAGTTTGTCCTCCCATACAACAGTACTCCAGGACCAGATCATTAATCTCCAGGTAGAAAAAGACCAGTATTCAGCTACCTTACAGGAGAGGGAAAGTCAGTTAGAGCAAATTCAGACTTCACTGGACGAAAAAATGAAAGAAATTGACCTTTTAGGGAAGGAATCTCAAAGTAAAACAGAGGAGTACCAAGATTTGCTGATGGAATTAGATAAAGTGAAAGATGCTCTTGAGACCAGACAACAAGAAACCTCTGATTTAAAGTCACAGATAGCAGTAGCTGCAGCTCAGCAGAGTGAATTGTTGGCTCAGCATGAACAAGATATCAGGGCTTTACAAGGGGAAAATGACTCGACGAAGGAAGAGGTTAACAAACTGCAGGAGGAGAACAGATCAATGTTAGACAGGAATAACTTGTTACAGGATGAAACACAACGGGACATTGAAAATAAACAATCCGAAGTTAAAGACTTGATGGAACGTGTTTCTGTGCTAACAGAGGAACTTGGTGAAACAAATGTGCACAAGGAAAGTCTAGTCAGAGATTTCAAGGAAAAATGTGATCAAGAAACTCATCTCAGAGCAGAGGTAGAGAAACTTGGAAACAGTTTGCAGACTCTTGAAGGTGAAAAAGACACTGTTACTAAGAATTTGGAATCTGCCAAAGCAGAGGTTGAGGAATTGAAAGGTGAAAACAACACTGTTACTAAGAATTTGGAATCTGTCAAAGCAGAGGTTGAGGAATTGAAAGGGGAAAAAGACACTGTTACTAAGAATTTGGAATCTGTCAAAGCAGAGGTTGAGGAATTGAAAGGTGAAAAAGAAACCCTACACATTGAGTTTGAATCGGTGAAAGGCAAATTGTCCGCTCTTGAGGACGGAGCATCAGGGTCAGAAAAACAGCTAGCGGATATAAGTGGTCAATTAGAGAAACTTAAAGCAGAGAAAGAGGTAGCTAATGCTAAAACAGCCTCGCTGCAAGATTCACATGACAGCCTCTCTGAAAAGTTGTCCAGTTCAGAAACTGAAGTTAATAAACTAAAGCAGGACAAGCAAGATTTGAATGAGACAATAAAAGAGTATGAAATCAAAGTCAATAATTTACAACAACTAGAAAGTGAAATGGAACATTTAAATAAGCGGTGTGTTGAATATGAAAGAGTTCTTGGTGAGAGGAATGAAGAGAGAAAGACACTAGAACTCACTCTGGCAGAAACGAGTACACAATTGGCGACGTATGTGGCCGACTGTGAGCAACTTAAAACCACACAAGTAGAATTAGTAGAGAGCAGTGACAAAGTAAAAGCAGAGAAGGTAGGATTAGTGGAGAGTATGGAGAAACTGAAAGTGGAACAGGTGGAGCTGGTATCACAAGTACAAAGATTTACTCACCTGGAGGAGGACAGCAAACAAAAATCTAACGTAAGTCTGTTTTAACTCCTCAGAGGGTTTAAAGTGTGTTCCAGATTTTCTAGATTGTTTCTTCATTATTCTTATTCCTTAGTAATAAAACAAAGCAAAACAAAAATGATAAAGACCGCATTCGTTCATCGCGATCTTAAAGATTGAAGTGATTAGACCAGAGTTGTTAATTTATGCAATAAGGTTGGACCCAGTAATATAATGCTGCTTTCAGGCAAGCTTTGACAAAGCCTTAAAAGGCCTGCATAAACTTTTGCAGGTCCGGCAAGATTTATATCCAAAAATGTTACATTTGAAAACAGACAAACCAGTTGAACCGGATAGGCAAAAAGGGCCAAAGAGTCAAATCATTTATCTTTTCCACTAGAAATTGGCAGGTTTTTTTTGACAACACTTCACTGATTGCCTCACATTTTATTTAAAGTAAATTCCATGCCAATCTGTAGACTTGTGATAAAAGTTAAAAAAAATTCTGATGTACATGCATATTTTTTCTGATGAGGGTTTTAAGATAAATTCATTGTTAATGTCCTTGTACCCTGCACCATAAAAAACTTCTCAAAGTGAAGTGAACTAATAATCAAAATTAGACGGCCTCATTGCTACTGAGAATTACATGATTGACAGTTTCTGACTGATGTGTTGACATTTCAGGACTCAAGTGCGGAGGTGGAGAAGCTTAGGAAGAACCTCAAAGAGAAGGATGTTATCTGTGGCAAGCTCAAGGCGATGGCGGTCAAGTGTAAGCAGGAGCTCGCCGAGATCAATAAAAAGGAGACTATGTCAGAGTATTGTAGATTTTTAAAAATGCTTTACATTTAGCACTCACTTTTGTTTATTTTTATTATCAAATACAGTAAAACCTCAATATAATGCCACTCGTGACATTTTCCACCTCATTTACCACCAACATGTTTCAAAGGTCATTTTTTTTTTTTTTTAAGAATTCCTTTAAACATTTCTCTAAATCTAATGCCAAACCCCTTTATAATGCTAAATTTTCTCAGGAAAAACGGGCAGCATAACAAGGTTTTACTGTATTTAAAGGAAAACAGAATTTTATATAATTGCATTGAAAAGGTTAAGGCTTTGCATAGTTTTCACAACTGCATACAGTAGTTCACACTATGTATACATGTATATAAAAAGTAAAATTCTCAAAAACAAGTCTTTAGTACTTTTATCTCGTCAACAAGGAGATTCTTCTTCAGACTCTGAAGAATCTCCTTGACGAGATGAAAGTACTAAAGTCTCGTTGTTGAGAATTTTTCTTTTTATATTATTTCTTCGTCCGTAAAGATCATTTTTTCGGCTTTTATAATATACATGTACAATATATATAGTCATGTAACAAATCATTATTGAGTGTCCTTATGATTTAGTAACATGCTGTATATCTCGGAAACTTTCGCCCTGTCAAGTTTTCGCCCTTTGAACTTAAATCTCATAAGTTCTTGATAAATAAGCATAAAAACTGCAAAAATAATATAGACTTACATAATAAATTGGAAAAATGGCTTCTCCTATGAAATAACATGAACAATTATCATTATACTATAAAGAACAAAACCAGATGTCTAAGGTTTGCAATTCCACCCACCCACCCCCCTGTGTGTGTATGTGTGTACAGTATATAATTAGTCTCTTGTAAAGAGGTGTCCGTTGTGAAGGGAATGTAATCAATGTAATGTATGCTTGTTGCTTTGTGTCTAAATGTGTTGTTTATAAAAAAGAAGAATTCAATATATAAAAAAAAGTTTTCGCCCTTTATAGGTAAAATCTATTTTTGCTGTATGTTAATTTTGCTCTTTACATCTGATTACTATTTTTGTTATATTGCTTACTACTGTGCGCCGTAATGATAATTCACCCTCATTAAAAAGGGCGAAAAACGTTAACATTAAAGGGGCTGGTCGGGGGAAAAATGTCATATTGAAATATACCGATACAAATTTTGCTGAAATTCACTCCCTAAGAGTAAAAATTATAATTATATTAAAGAAATCCTAAATCGTCACCTGACAGTCTAAAACATTCAATTGACCCAGATCGGTGATGTAGTTTTACCGCACGCGCGTCATCAACAAGGCCAAATGTAAACATCGCGGCGAAAGGAAAAGATGCATGAAAAAGTCATGACAGGCATGAGGTATTAATACCGTTATAAATAGCAACAACATATAGGTAGGAATACTACACTTGCATCATACATGACCTTTGAAAACAATTATTTACGTATAGTATTGCTGTCTTGTCCGCTAGTTGAGTCCGACATGGCACATGACGGCGTGCTATTGTTGTTATCTTCACTGTCTCACTTTCGAAACAACCACGTGACATATATAAATAGATCTGCGCTAAATTTACGCGGGCGTTCCCCAAGATTTCAGTGGTCAAAACTGGACATTGCCAGCAGAACTCGACCATCATATTGCTGTGGTATAACTTTTGGAAGGCCAGAGAACGCATTTAGACCAATTTATTTTGTCATTTTTTCCCCGACCAGCCCCTTTAAACTGGGGCGAAAATTTCCCGGTGTACAGTAACTTGTCTCTTGAGTGTCATAATGATGTTATAGCTTACCTCTATCTGCAAGTGTCTTTAAAATACATGTACCTAATAGAAATATATCGATGGATATGGATATGATATCACATACTGGACTGTTTTAGGCAATTTTTTCTCTATATTGTTATTATTTATTTACAAGATGTATTTTTGGAAATTGCCAAAATCTTTAAAAAGAGGTTTGTGTCATTGTGATAAGGTTTTTAACATTTTTTAGTTTGCTGATATCTCTGAAGAGCTGAAGGAAGTGAAACAGTCCAGATCTGACCTTGGGCAGAAGTTAGAGGTCATGGAACAGTCAAACAAATCCAACTCCATAGTAACAGAGAGTTACCAGGTAACTAAGGGTTGGTCAGCTGATCCCCTGGTTGTACTGATCAGATGCAGGTGTCTGTCTTCAAAACTTTGAAGATATTAAAAATTAAATTATTACCATATTTATATCATAAGGTTTTATTATTAGTACTAATCGATATACATGTGCAAAACCAACATTCTAATTAACTGGAGATATAACAAGGCATTTGGTTGGTCAATTGAAATAATTTGTGATTGTATAACCACGATATAGTACCGTCCACAAATTTCTCATCTGCATATGAGGCTCGGAAGGCGACTGTTTATGAGGTTTGCTTTCAAAGACCAGTGGGTAAACATATGGTAGAGTGAAATAAATATGGTCTATAGTTCAATTTAATCGTTACTTTTTTCAAAAGTCATAACACATACTTAGCTTATTTTCACAGGGATATATAGGCATATTCCTTTGTGAAATCAGTCATCACATTTCTAAGTCATGTTATTTGATGTTTGAAATAAAATAAACTACATACCTGATCTCAAAGTTTTACTTTTTACACAAACACGTGTTACGTATTAAACGTGTTGCAACATTTCAAGACCGACTGGTCCCTTTGTCAAGCTATGACTGAGCGAGTGATTTGTATTGTTTACCTGTACAACGATGTGACGAAATTGTATATTTTTTATATCACTCAACCTGAGACATTTTGCCTATCGATAGGGAGCGTATACACACTGCATCAGATATGTTACAGGTAGGGTGCGATACGTTTAATACGTATATTGTTTGTGTAAAAGGTAAAACTTTGATATCACATATTTGCAAACTGATGAATCTTATTGGGGGAAAAAAGTACATACCTGTTGAAAATATTATTTTGAATTAATTGTCTTTATAAAGAAATTTATAAGTACATGTAGTACATGCTTAACCATTGATAACAGACACTGCAGCAAGAACACAAGAAGTTGGCCCAGGAACTGGAGGCTCACAAGAAAACAGCCGACCAGTATAAACTGGACCTTGAGCGTACTGTCCAGGACTCATCCCAGGTCAAACAAAAACTGGCCAACACTAAGGAGGAAAAGGACAGAATCAATAGTGATAAAGAGAAGCTGGCCACACAGATCAAGGTTGGCTAAATGTCAAACAGGTTGTTATGTGTAATAGCTAAGTAGGTCAGAGGTCAAACACAGGGTCAGGAGTAGTTTCAAAGTAGGTCAGAGGTTAAATACAAGGTCAGGAGTAGTTTCAAAGTAGGACAGAGGTCAAACACAGGGTCGGGAGTAGTATCAAAATAGGTCAGAGGTCAAACACAGGGTCAGGAGTAATATCAAGGTAGGTCAGCAGTCAAACACAAGGTCAGGAGTAGTATCAAAGTAGGTCAGCAGTCAAACACAGGGTCAGATGTTATTGCAAAGTAGGTCAGCGGTCAAATACAGTGTCAGTTGTTGTGGCAAAGTAGGTCAGAGGTCAAACACAGGGTCAAATGTTATATCAATGTAGATCATGTACACAGGGTCAAGTGTGATTTCAAAGTAAGTCAAACACAGGTCAAGTCTTATCTGATTTGAGGATAGTTTGGTTAGATCCCACTTAAGTTTATTTGTTCAGTTTTTGAAAAAAAAAATTAAAGAGATTTTCATATCTAAATATGTAGTTTAAAATTAAAAATATTGTTTCCTCAGGGATTAGAGACTGCGGTGGGGGAACTGAAATCCAAACTGACAGCTTCCGAACAGGAGACAGAGGCAAACAGAATTCAACGGGATGAAATCTCCAAGGAAAAATCGCAGGTATTTTACAAAGAAATTTCATATCGAAAAGATCCACCATTACCTGGGTATTGTATATGCCACACTTGAGTAAAAATATGCATAAATGTATAAGAAACATATATTTCCTCTGAGTATGAAGGTTGGGGTTCATAGTCGTTTTCTTGTGGACCGACACTTAACTCATTCACCCCTGACGTTTCATAATGAACTATTCCAACCTTTGATTGGAAGAGTTCAAATGTGTCTTCAGTATAAATTAAATATATTAAGATGACAAGAATTTAATTATTTTGACCTTTTCCCCCCACTTACCTGAAAGTATTTTGTAAGCAGCAAATGTTTTGTCCATTTTATAATTCTCTTGAACAAGAGGATAAACTCATAATGGAGTAAAAAAAAATCTTGGCATTTCTCCAATATTAAAAATACGTAAGTGAAATCTCTAAGTATGGATAAATTTAACACGGGCAAATATGTATTTTGTGTTTGTATGTACATACCTATATGCATGAACAGGTTTGTTATGTAATGATGTGGTCTTTGTAATTCTAGTTACAAACCAGATTGACTGACCAGGAGGAACGATCAAAGACGGACCTGGAGAAACAGAAAGCCATCATTACTGGGCTCCAAGGTCAGATACAGACCATTCAGAATCACCTAGAGCAGGCGAAACAGGTAATTATTATGCTAAAGATACAAGTAAAACAGGCTCAGTTTCTGTCTTTAGAACAGTGAAATGTGACTTTACCTCAATCACGGGGAACTTGATCGATATAAAAAATTTGGTTTAAGACAAGAAACTTTCTTGTTGGTTTTTTTACCAGTAAATGAAGGTGAGGATTAAAATCAGGCTTTGGAAAAGCTAATGTAAGTGAAATCAAGTTAATTAAGTCAGACTTTTTTCCCAAAGAAATTCTTCAAAGTTAGTCATTTTTAGAATCAACCACCATACGCCAAATAAGGTTTAAAAAAGAGAAATATTTGGAACCACTGACCATGTGTAATAACCTTATCTTAGTCTAATCCATGCTAGACAGGGTAGTGAGAATCAGCATCAATGTGTTTCTATGTTAACAGGAAGCCCAACAGAGCAACATGATGGATCTGGAGATAGCAGACTACGAACGGACAGTCCAGGCCCTGAACATGCAGGTCACAGAGAAAGACGTGGCTGTCGGAGAGCTGAAGCTTGAAATAGAAAGAAAGGAGGAAAGGGTCAAATCTCTACAAGAACAGATAGGTAAAATAGTTAAAATTAAATGATGGGTTACACTCACGTATCCTGGTTGAAACGGTACAGGTGGCGTAGAAATAATCCAGATAAACGAACGCACTTGGACCGTTCTATAAGCAGAGCTAAAAATGCACCGTTTCGGAGAATAAATAACAAGTCATCAAGAATATTATGCCCTTCTTTCACGCGTCCACTGAATTATATCACGTATCTTAAAAACTACACGTGGCTTGACATTGTTTTAGGAAGAAATAATGCAAACTAGCAATAGTCAGCATTTAAGTTTTAGGGGTCAGGTACGTCTGGTCCCCTAAATCTACAGGTGCCGAATATTCCTGAGGTCAGCTTTGGTTCAGATCTGTGCCTGTCGTTTTCTTTACAGGTTCAACCGTTTCAACTGGTTGAACTGGGTACGCGAAAGTGGCCCAGGATTTAATGTACAAAGGCCAAATGTTTCCCACTTTACAATACATATAATAAATTTGTGTTTACACAGAGGCTGTTGATGAACAAAGAAACCAGTCTGAAGAGAGGGGCAACAAGTTTAAACAAATGCTGGTCAAAACCAAGAAAGAGCTTGCAGATGCCAAGAAATGGGTAGGTAGTACAGTAGTTAGACTAGACCTTCAAACTATGTTTGCTGAAAAATCTTACCTTGACTTGTACATTGTGGTGAGGTGTAGAAATGGGTTTTTGACCTTGACATGCACATATGAAATATAGGATATAATCCTAAAACTTAACCTTGACCTGCACAATGGTTCAGATCGAAATGGATCTTTGATCTTGAGCCGTAAAATATCTTTAGGTTTAAAAATGATCTTTGATCTTGATTTGTTCAATGAGATGTAGAACAGGATGAGCAAATATTTCTTCGTGTGTAGCTTTGATGACAAGATATTAATCAATTAGATTGTGGAAGATGATATTAAAGATAGTGATAATTAGATAATTAGTCTTTTCATTGCATGTATAAATATTACTTCCTTATTAAACAGATTTTTTTTCATGAGGAATAATGAAATATATTTGTATAAATGAAACTGGAGTTACCATTTTTAACATGACAGTTTCTGAAAGTTGGAACATGTTAAGAAAATCTTCCAGACAGTTAATTTCTTTTTCAGGAAACAGAACAGCGTACATCAGATGCTCACTTACGAGGCCAGATTGAAGGTCTGAACCAACAGCTGGAGGAAAATAAGGTGAGCGGTGTAAAGTATGGTTGTGCCTGTATAGGAGGTTCCCACATTTATAGATAGTTCAGCCACTGAGGTCTGTTTGTCTGGGGTGGAAAAATGGAAAATATTTTTTTAAGCAACCTGTTGTACTGTATACATTATTTTAAACTTAGGAAAGAATAATATGTAAAATTCAATTAGTTCACAGTTAATAACTGATTTATTATTGCCTTTAAAAATGCCTATAACATTTCCTGATATGCAATTTAGACTGGCCTCCATCTATAAAATATGTTTAAATTATTTGGAAAACAAATTAGCTCAAATAATTTTGATCACTTCGATGGATGTCTGATTCTAAGTTTTCAAACTAGGGGGAGATAAGCTAGTAGAAAAAATGCAGCTGGGAAATTCTTCTTAAAAATCTTTTAGGAGCAGGTCGCCAGTTTATGCAATCATATGCAAACCAATATTAGTCATAACTCTTCAGATCAAAGTCAACGACCATGTCTTAATTGTAGATGCAAACGAGTGAGGTGGCTGGAGACAACCAGAAGTTGAAGGAGAAACTGAGGTCATTGTCAGACTCTAACCAGCGGACTATCAGGTCGCTGGAAAGCCAGGTTCAGTCCCTACAGGATGACCTAGAGGTGGTGAGGAGTGAACAGGGGGCAATACAGGCAGAGTACGAAAGTTATAAGGTAACATAATATATCATACCTCTAGTGAAAATCCTGTATTATAATTGGCTGAGATAAATTGTTCATTTCACACTGTCACATTCGCTTTTACATTGAGTCAATGGAAGAGTGCTTCCCAACGCCCTAGCAACGAGTGACAGTGTAAATATATGTGACAGTGCAAAATAGTGACCGTGTAAAGAAGATGCGCGTATGGTTCGTTCAATCCGCCATATTTTTGCATTGCGATTATCACACAATGTATGTCCACAGGCACTCCATGTCGCTACCGTGTATTACTCGCCGGTGATAAGTACGACATTGTTATGAGAGATTTCCAAGCTCTTCATTGCTGTAGTAGTCAAGATAAACAATCTGCTGTCTGCTCAGTGAAGTAGAAAATGGCAAGAATTGTGAATGCCAAGTTGGGTGATTTGGATAAGCTTTTGCTGAAAAAGGACTCTAAAGCACGGAAAATAAAATTATTGACTTTCGGTATAATAAGATAAGTGCTACATTCATTAGATATGACAGTATCGGGACTTCGCCTCAGGTGACAGTGATACCCTCGGGTGACCCTTGGCACTGTCACACTCTGATTAATATAGTATTTATACAACGTCATTGTAACAGTGTGAACCAGTACTATATACAGGCAGTGATACAAAGTACTGTCAAACCTATCAAATCGGATACAGTGGGGGTTGGCGAAAATATTTTGTTCGACTTGAGCTATAAATGTCACATTAAAATTGTTGTTTTTTAATGAAAATATTGTAACATATAAAATACAAGAATTGTTGTTCAATAGACTATAAAAACTTGCGTTTGTTACCTGTTTATGTATAGGTGCGGGTACATAGTGTGTTGAAACAACAGAAGAAGCCGTCACAGGAACCACTGAGTGAACAGGAAAAGTTAGAAAAGTAAGGAACCTTTAGGCTGACTGCAATGACTGCATTCTAGTAAACCACACCTACTACATGTATAATTCTGTTATGTGTGAAGTGGTTACTTTGAAACTCGTGATAATAACCAAAAGAGTTACCAGTTAGACCAGTGTACGTATCTAATGAGTTTTGTCTCGCCGCCACGAAGTAGCGGAAGCGAGACTAAAGTGTTGCTTTTCCTGCGACAATGTCAGCATCAAAATTAAGTTTTTGTGTTTTTGTTAGTTTCACTGAAAGTATAAGTGCTAGACCAACCAAATATGGATCATAGATGCATCTTAAGTAGTACATCTCAACCCATGCATCAAATGCTGGATGCATCCTACCTTTCATGGTCCATTGACTTTGTCAGCATCTCCATCAACTTTAAGTTTTTGCATTTAAGTTAGTTTTTCATTTCAAATGTCGTCTACATTGAATTAATTTCACCGATATGTGCATTGATGGTCAAAGTGGGGCACAGGTGAGACATATCAATCTGAATGGCTTGTTAAGTTAACCATTAGAATAGGTAACAAGAATTAATATTGGACAGCTACAGGTACTTCATTTATAATCTACTATATAATGTACAATGAGAACAAAGGATGATGTCATAACAGTGTTTTAGTAATTAATATTTCTTGAATCTATTGTTATCTTTGACTTCATACATTGTATTGAAACCACTCAGAACAGATTTTCAATTTTTTAGGGAGAGACTAGAAAAGGCAGTGGAACAACTGAAGGGTAAATTGGAGGAAACAAGGTAAGGCTGCCTGGGTGTCGTTATACATGTATGTACCACTGAATTTGAAAATTTGACTTCTGAATTAGCATTTCATGTTTCGCATTTGGCATTGGGTTACCAGCCTTCGATAGTTTCTAACTGGAGTACATTGTAATCCTAAAGATTTGTCATTTGTAGATTTTTTTCAAATAATTCCTGATATCTTTAGATATAATAATGGATCTCTCGAAGTTGTTTCCTCATACTTATCTTTCCATGAATAAAATGTCTTCAATTAAGAAATTGTGTGTGCATCTTAAAATTACTATTACTATGACAGATAGAAACTCCAATAAACTTGTCAGTTTAAAATTACAGCAAGAGCTACATAGTAATTACTTGTTGGGATTACAGTGACATTATACATTGTATAACCTGTGTCTGTATTATTACAGTGCGGCCCTGAGCAGTACCAGACAGGAAGTGTCAGTATTACAGGAAGAACACGATCGTCTATTACAGCGACACAACAAGGTGCTACTAGACACACAAGACAAAGAGGATCACTACAGAAAAAGGTACATTATATCAGTATGCCATTTGGAAAAATACTATTCAATCTGTATAGTGTTTACCATATATATTTGAAATAGCAAAACAATCCTAACTTTAGATCACATACCAAAAAATGTTCATGAAATTTGCATCATGTTTAAGTTTAATAGCTGACCACAGCACATCAGTAATCTTAGTCATACGAGTGTTTTATTCGAAGCTATTCGCCATTTTTAAAATTGTTCTAATTTCCTTTCATGCTGTAAACGTTTCAAGTTTTCATCATCAAATAAGTCAGCTTAACAAGAAGTCATTATAGATAAAATTCTGGTGTATCGGGTAGAAGTTAACAAAAGTCATGCCCTATCAAGATAAATTTTTCATCTTTTAGAATGGAGGAGGCCAATAAGGAAAAGGTGTTATACAACAAAGAACTACAGGACACAGTTCAACAATTAGCTGGTCAGAACGAGTCTCTGACCAACTCTTTGAAGGTAAGAAAATTGACAAGTTGTTAGAACAAGTTATTGGCCATCTTCTTCACAGTAAACACATGACCGCTAGTCAGAATAAGATGCTAACAAATTCTTCAAGGTAAACGCACTAACCACTTGTCAGAATAAACCTATGACCTTGAAGATCATTTGTATAGACTAACAACATCTTTTTCATCCCATCACAATGAAAGGTCGAGGGGACATAGGATTTAGCCCTTACGTATGTATGTACGTATGTTACACTCTTTGTCATCTCTCTATCAGCTGCATTTCTTAACAGAATATCATGAAACTTCATACAAGTGTTTGGTATGGCAATGCCTTGAACATGATTGGGTTTCGGGTTTCTACGTTGAAGGTCATGGTCACTGTAACTATTTTTAGTAAAACTTTATTATAGTTCTGCCGACCTCATTGGAATTTCATGAAACTTGATACAAGTGTTTGGTATGACAATACTTTGAACAAGTTTGCGTTTTGGGTAACTTACTGCGTTAAAGGTCAAGGTCACTTTTACTAATTTTTAGAAAAACTTTGTCATCATTCTATCAATTCCTGGTTACTATGTAAAAGGTCAAGATCACTTTTACTATTTTTAGAGAAAACTTTGTCATTGCTCTATCGACTTCATTCCTCAACGGAATAAAAATCTATCATCTATAAGACAGCAGTTGTGGAGCAGATACTGATACATCATTGAATTTTCTATTAATTTCCTCATACATATGTCACACAATGTGTGAATGTAAGGGGATTTGTATCACTTTTGATACCTTGTTTGACCTATTCCTCCAAAATATTTTGTATAGACTAACAGCACAAATATATTTCAATAAAATAATTTGTATAGACATTTTATATCGAAACTGTTTTGTTAATTAAACTGCCATGGTGTATGCTTGATAATGTGTGATTGTATTATACTTGGTGAAGTGTGTTTGCAATATACATGATATAGTATGTTCTTCCAAAGTTATCAGACCTGATGTTGACCTCGCTCTGTATTAATAGGATCAGATAAAATGTCTTCACGAAGACCATCGTCGGGCCCTAGACTTGCTACAAAGACAGCTAGACTCGGTAGAAAATGACAACTTTCGACTGCAGAGGGAACTGCAGCATCAAGTCCAGCATACTTCAAAGATTCTCTCCGAACGGAAAAGTCCCGAGACATTCCAAACTGTCCCAACCACAGAGTTCATTACAGATATGAGACACGAAGAGCGACAGGAAGGGGAGGTAAGTAAATTAGAACTTTTTAAATTTGATACGACATTGAAATTTTATTTGTACCAAGAATAACTGCATGTCTAAGCATTCTTTTAAAAAGAAAAATGGAAATTTCTAATTGTATGATATATGTGAAACAAAAAGGAGTATTTTCTTTTCCGTAGTATTGTCAATCCATGATAACCCTAACAAATCTTGTTGTCTGTTATATGAGATATTTGACTCCAAGTATCAATTATGACGTCATTATATCATTGTATGTGACTACAAGGCTTAATTCGTGTATCCCGGTTGAAACGGGTCGGGTGGCGCAGAAATATTCCACGATAAACAAACGCATTTGGACCGAACTATAGGCAGAGCTAAAAAAAATGCACAGTTTCAGAGAATAAATAACAATGTTTCAAGAATAGTATGTCCTTCTTTCAAGCGTCCACTAAATTATATAATGTTTCTTTAAATCTGTATCTGGATTGACATTGTTTTAGAAAGAAATAATGCAAACTAGCAATAGTCAGCATTTTAGTTTCGGTCAGGCACGTCTGGACCCCTCAATCTACATGTGCCGAATATTCCTGAGGTCAGCCTCGGTTCAGATCTGCGTCTGTCGTTTTCTTCCCAGGTTCAACCAATTCAGCTGGTTGAACCGGATACGCGAAAGGGGCTCAAGTAAATGCCCCGTCCCCAAATGTCCCTGGCTGTTAAAGGACGTTTAACCGTGATAAAAACAAAACAAAAAACAAGCAGATATTGCCTACTTCATTGAATTTACCTTGGTTTGTGTATTTGGTATAGTGTTTATTATGACGTAAATTTCTCCATGTAAACTGTATAATGACTCAACATAATGAAGGTAACATTTTTGCTCTCTTTCTGGCTTGAAAAATTGCGTAAATAAATAATATAAACAACACTTATATGGTGCCATTCATCTGGCAGATTTATAGCTAGGATTATTTACTGTTACTGCAAAATTTTAACCTACTCAACGTGTACATGGAATAAAACCATGGTAACTAGCCTTTGAACAGGTACCCAGGTGTGTGTAAATAACTCCTTAATATACTTCTAGCTGTAACAGTACTAATCAGGATAAATGCTTTAATTCCTTTGTAGGGGTCAGAAATTGTGGATCCTGAACCATGTCCAAAGGTAAACAGTTTATTATATTTATTCTGATACAACTGATTGAATCCTCAGAATCGAAGCTTTTATGTAATATTTGATAGAATATAATAGACACATATTATTTGTTTCCACATGTAGAAAAATTATTTATTACATGTATTTGAAACTTTAAATTCCTTTCCACTTGTTTTTCTTACAACTGACAGTTGAATTTCATATACTGTATAACATGAAATGTTCATTGTATATTAACATTCATGGTTTTCGTGGTTGCTATTGAATCACAAAAATAAATAGAACAAATTTGAACGAAAGGCGTGTTTACTGTTAGTTAATATACAAAATCCAAGAAAGTTTGTACCACAAAATGATCTAAATGGATTCAAACCACGAAGGAAAGTGCCGAAGAACATTTCGTGTTATACAGTATAGCTTGGTATGGAAGTTAAAGTACCTGGCAGTAGGTAAATTGTTGTACACGTACCTGTAGTTCACTGTTCCACCTGTGTTATATCTATGTTTTAACAGGGAAGTAATAAGACAACCCTAGCTCCCATGCCACTAGACAAGTTATTGGTAGCTGGCCCAGAGGACACAGGTAAGGATTGAAAAAAAACATGAATCTTTGAGTCTATCCCTAATGTGAGTACTATATAAGCCTGTGGCCATAGGTGTCAGCCTCTGAATCCTCCAATGAGGGAGAAAGTGCATGAAATGGGACTGAAACTGCTTTACTCAATTTATCTTTCCTATTTTATGTATCATAATAACTCCAGAAAGCATTTATTTGATTCAGACACACCTGTTATGATCATTACACTCACCCTGCAGTAACTAGGAGATCATTTGACCACAGGATGTAGATTTTGAGTTTGTGTGAGTTTGGACTTGAATGAGGGAGTTTCGAGGGAGATTGATAATTTTTTGTCAAAATGAGTGAGTCTCCATCCTAATGAGGGAGGGTTGACAGCTATGAGTCTGTGCAATAAAATATCCATTACCTAAACTAATATGGCTATCAAAACAATTATTACTCAGCAAATGATTACTTTTCTGTATTATTTCAGCCTCAAAGCTCAGTCCACATGTAGATGAGGCAATACTCGAGGAGAAAATTCTGACGGCTAACAAGAGACTAGAACATTCAACAGAGGTAAGACCTTGTCCCACAAATACTGTACAGTTGTAGATATACAGACAGGCAGAGCTTGTCTAGCAAGAATTTATGTATATTTTTTTACTTACAAAAATACATGATGTTTTCATCAAGTTGGTTGTCAGTGAATTTCACTTTACTCATTTCCACCTGAAGACAAATTTGAACTCTTCCAATTCAAAGGTTTGAATAGTCCATCATGAAATTTCAGGGGTGAATGAGTAAATATCACTTATTATCACATCAAAGCTAAAGACTACAACAGAAGTCACATTTGATACATCATTTAAAGGGGGAAGTCTTCAAAATGGCGAATAGCATCTGTGAAGTCAAACACCAATGAGGAAACAATCATTGGTGTTTTTTTATTGGATTAAAAATCGTAACATGCTATCGACGACTATCAAGATTTCCCAAAATGGCTTGTGTGTCAATGTTTGTTTTCCAAATTTCATCCGAGGTTCTGTTTCCCAAAACCCCCTGACTTGTTGTTTTCCGTAATGAGATGATGTTGAATGATTTATTGTAACAGCTTCTGAGTGAATCTGAAGCAGCGGTGATGAGACTGACAGAACAGGCCAAGATCCTGAAGGAGGAGATACGGAGGCTGGAGAGGAACCAAGAGAGGGAGAAAGAGGCAGCCAATATGGAATACCTTAAAAACATACTTCTTAAGGTATGCATCTTAAAAATTCTTAAATTTAAAGATGTTGTGAAGAATAAAAACTTTGAAAGTTTGGCACAAAATATCTCTTTTGTAACATTGTCCGATCAGTTAACATTGCTGCACTATTTCTGAATCTTGTCGGCTGGAGCATTTGTGTACAATGTTACATTATTTATTTACGTCGCAGTATTTCAGAACAATGTAACATTTGAGATACTGCAACATGGAACACTAACAATGAAATAGGGTAACAGTCTTTCTCCCACAACCACTATAGGCTTCCTCACTCCCATCTCATTGTTACATTGTTTTGTGTAATCTTGCAGTTCTGTGAATATTTGTGTAAAATTTTACTGTATTTCATATTGGTGTACTACTGTAAAAGCATAATATTTCATTGGGGATTTTATTTCGTTTATTTCGTGGTTTTAAGAAAACCACGAAATACAAACTAAACGAAAATTAGTATGTTGCAGTATCTGTGTACCATGTTATCTGTGTATAATGTTACAGTATCTGTGTATCATGTTACAGTATCTGTGTATACAGTATCTGTGTATCATGTTACAGTATCTGTGTATCATGTTGTAGTATCTGTGTATAATGTTACAGTATCTGTGTATCATGTTGTGGTATCTGTGTATCATGTTACAGTATCTTTGTATACAGTATCTGTGTATCATGTTCAGTATCTGTGTATCATGTTACAGTATCTGTGTATCATGTTACAGTATCTGTATCATGTTGCAGTATCTGTGTATCATGTTGTGGTATCTGTGTATCATGTTACAGTATCTGTGTACTATGTTACAGTATCTGAGTACCATGTTACAGTATCTGTGTATCATATTACAGTATCTGTGTACNTACTGTAAAAGCATAATATTTCGTTGGGGATTTAATTTCGTTTATTAAGAAAACCACGAAATATAAACTAAACGAAAATTAGTATGTTGCAGTATCTGTGTATCATGTTGTAGTATCTGTGTATCATATTGCAGTATCTGTGTATCATGTTATCTGTGTATACAGTATCTGTGTATCATGTTATCTGTGTATACAGTATCTGTGTATCATGTTA